TTTAAGCTCAAATTTAAGACTTTTTAAGACCTGCACTGCACAGATCAAATTTATGCCATATGAGTGGGGTGGGGCAATGTTTTAAAATGACTGTAAAAAGCATGATTTACAGTTCAGATACAGGTTTTCACAAAAACATTTAAAAAATGAAATACAATTTCAAATGTCAGCCTTTTAAATTTCAAACAATTAAGAAAAGAGTCAAAAATCAAATGTATCAATTATTATAGTAATGGTTTAATGGTTGGTTTAATATAAATCATTATTTTAAACCAGCAGAAGGGCTGTTAAAAAATGCAAATTAATTCTGTGCCAGCATGTGGCGCTTTCAGAACTGCATAAAGATAGACTTTGAAACATGCAGCGCTCATATTTATCCAATTAAATCATGCCTTTTTAATTTAAATCATTGCATTAAGCTATATGGCAATTGTCTTTCCGTCCCCCTTGTACTTTTTATGGCCTTAAATTTGATACAATTAAATTTAAGACTTTTTAAGGACCAGCAGAAAAGGCATGCTGACATTGAGATAGAAAAAAAAAAAAATTGGACAAATAAAATAAAATATAATAAACTGCTTTAAATTTTTCAAGTACAGTACAGGTATCCTTAAATGCAGCATTTCAGTAAGAAATGTAGGTTACTAATCAAAAAAAAAGAAAAAAAAGAAGCATATTAGCCTATTAATCATATGAGTGATAGGCTATATTCTACTGATTCTCATATTAGGCTGCTGTACTACATACTGCACAGATAAGTTACATGCGATTTTTTCCCTAGATGTTTACATTCGATTGAGACAAAACCAACTGTGTTTATGTGAACCATGGGTGTTTTTGACAGTTGAAACAATAAACGCTAAAGAGAGTGTAGTTTAGTCCCCGCTGGGATGTGCGCGCTCGTAGCCTAGGCCTATATAAAAAAAGTTTAAACTGGCAAGGCGCACAGCCGTATCTCTTACAGTTTGGAAGCGGTTGAAATTAAAATAAACGATTGTACGTTGTGAGCGAACAATTTGTAGAAATCTGCCAGAAGAAGCAGCCACTAATTTGTACGGAAACATCTGATGGCCAAACTACAGTGGAATTCGCAAATGGAAAAATCAAGTGAGCCCGGGTCGATTTGTGTTCACAATGCACGTTTTTAGCGAACCGTACCTTTAGCCGAAAGCGAACCGTACTCAGACCACCTCCCGAGATGGTCTCGGTTCGCTTCGCTTCTGAGGGGTCTGAGATCGTTTGGAGTGTTCACATAAGGTCCAAAAATCACGAGACCCGCGCTCAGACCCCTGAAAAGAACCAAAACACCCTTGTATACCAGTTTAGTATAGGCCTACCACAAGAAGCCTACAATTGCAGAGTATCCTATTTTTATTAAGCACATAAATATGTAAATGTAGTAGGCCTATACTTAGCATGAAATAAATGTATTTCAAATACATTTTAATATATTTATTTATCACTAAAGGTAGATAAGGTAGATGTTGCTTAAGTGTCTTTAAATTCTGCCATTTGTGATTTTGCCAAGTCAGACACGTTCCTGGAACAACATTACTGTCCACAAACATAGACCTAACCATATCCCTACATCTAAACCTAACCCTACCCATAATTTATCCCACAAATCGGAGGGAAATGATAACTGAATAAGAGTTCAGAAGCACCTAACCCTTGTTGTAAGCCTAAAACAGACATTTCCTGTAAATTATCCCTCAATTCTGATTGGTTGATTGGGATGTTGTTCCAGGAACATGTTACTTGGTGAAATCACGTTCACACACACACACTATAACGGAAAGACCCACTTGTTGATGTGGAGATGCTGGTACCAGTCGTTGACGCGTTTCTGCAGTTCTTTGTTGATGCGCCGGCTGCGCAGGTAACCCTTCACCAGCTCGTGATTGGGGAAAAACACGTTGTCACGATCACGCAAGCTTGAGATCACGTCCCCCATGCTCCCCACGACAGAAGCAAATACCAGCACGGCGATCAACATGTCTGCGACCAAAAACAGATATTCTTCTTCGCGTTCGGGCGGCGGAGTGTCACCCACTGTGGTGAGGATGAGAGTGGAAAACCAGAAGCAGTAGAAGTACTGGCGTCTCGTGGCAGCAAAGTCCGGGTCGGAGATGTTGGGATAGACCCAGGGATCCGCACCGAAGCCTATGTAATTAGACAGAGAGAAGTAGACGCAAGCGTTCCAGTGGATGAGCACGAAAATATACAGCATGAGTTTGGCGACGCGAAAGGTGTTTGGATAGGATGTGCGCGTTTCCATACGGTCCAGGGCCTCGTTCATACGACCCGTTCGCAGAAAGCGGTTGACCCGAACTAGAGGTGTGTGGATCCCCAGTTTCAGGTAGAGTATATCAGTGGGCAACAGGGAGGCAATGTCCCACTTGAAGCGAGAGGAGCGCATGTAACGCTTTTTTAAAAGGGAGAGGTCTCGCACCAGGATACCCTGCTCCAGAAAACCTGTAAAATAGAAAAACCTTTGATGAAATTATGTCTTGAGGTTTTCCAGTGGCGAACTGAGGAATCACAAATGGTGCCTCAAGTTCCTTTTCATTTGTACAGTGACACGAAGTGAAGTCATTCTATATTTGAAGCAAAGTTGAACATTTAAATAAGTACATTCAGACTAATAGGAAGGCTAAACAAACAAATAAAGCAACTAGATGCACACTTACCTGTGCGAAACCCAATAACTGTGTCAAGCACATAGAACAAGTCACAGATATAATCCAAGGTGAGCCATGTTGCCACAAACTTCTCCTCAATTGCATAGAAGCATGTCCTTTGAACAATACACAGATATTTGAACAAGTTCTCATGTGAAAGTCTACCTGTATTGACTTACTGTAGCAAATTAACTGTTAGGACTTGAAATCCAAAATAGGCCTATATCTGCAAATTTGATATAATTTTAAGAACTAAAATGTTAGTGTCTTTATTAATGTTCGCATTTCAGTTACAAGATTTTTCTAAAATGCTGTAAAAAAATAAAAGTGATTTATTAAAACATAGGCCTACATATGTAGTTCAACACCAATCAGTAAAACCTCAGTGTTTTCCTACCTGAATATTATGATGACCCAATTGTAGCAGATAGGGAGTATCATAATTTGTAACCATGTATAATAAAACTCTTCAGATGGATCAGTTATCCATTCCTTCCAGCTGAAAGATTACAACATTTTGTGTTAGTGTTTTTGTATAGTGTACCTTTTTATCCACACCCCTTAAAATGGTAAAGAACTGTATTTGTGTGTATGTGTGTGTATTTGAAGCATTGTTGTCAAACTTAAACTTCATAGAATTTTTACGTTATAATGTTACAGTAACAAATTTGACAACTAAACATTTGAACTAAAACTCACTTTAATTTTGTAGTCTCTTCTTTCTTCTTCTCTTTTGGTTCTTGTTCCTTATTCTCTTCCTTTTCACCATTCTTGTTCATGCGTTGCCATGTGAAAAGCCTTGCCCAGTGATTTGTGTTCATATTTAGTATTTACAAAGAAAATACGAAGCTAAGTAAGTTTATAACAACATTACAAGACAGATGAAGAAAACGCAACCATTGTTTGACCACTTAGCTGTGTCATCATAACAACAAGCAGCCCCACCCATATGACACAGGTACTATGTGATGCTTATTGCCATGACACCATTTCTCTAGGGGAACAGGTAAGCAGTTTCCTCCTGGCTCAGCAATCTGTGTGAACCAATCAGATTTCTGCAGACTCTGTGGGGTAGCTGAGCAAAGGTAACTGAAATGGAAAATAGTTTTAATGATCCATCAAGTGTCTAAAACCTGAATCAGTTGGCTTACAAACTCAAAACAGTCATTCTTGAGAAGTGGGACAAAACGGTGCAAAATTGAAAAATAAAACCTTGTACTCAGAGAAATGAAACTACATTTATGTGTCTTATATGTACTAAGCTACTGAGCTATGCTTTGATACAACCTCCCAACTTTTCTCTTTTTTAACAAAATGTGCTTTTTTACCTTGGACTGTGTAATATAATTTCAACTTTATCTTTAACAGCATTCAAGATGTTTTTAACATTTCAAAACACATTCTCGTGTTAGCAGACATATTACACTTTCACATGTGACCAACAATTCCACAACCCCTGATATTACCTGATTTTATTACATTTTATTGAATGTCTGACAGTGTTGACAAAAAGTGGGGACGCAACTTTAAAATCTTATTAAACATGCATGTGTCATTCAAAAAAACAACCTTGCTTTGATAGGAGATATTATTAAGTGTTGCTTTTGATAAAACAAGCTCTTTTTCATCATTAAAAAAACATTTTTATCCATTTTATTGCATATGAATGATTGAACCCTTCTCTGTGGACACATTGTTTTAGATGTAGTGAGAGGACAATAAGAAACAAAGATTTGGTATAATAATGAGAAAATTAAATTGAAGGTGATAATTGTGTTAAATACATTCTATTATTAATCCCTCATGACATTTAAAATTGAAAATATTTTTATTTTTAAACCTAGTAGCAGTTACCCTTGCTGGACCTGTTTTGTCCCATGTCTCAAGAATGACTGAAAAAATAGCTCTATTATGTTTGAATACTATAATATATGCAGTATAATAGTAAGCATAGTATGTACTTTATTGTCAATGTATTTTGAAAATGAAATCTTTGTTTTATGATTTTAACTGTATCAGGCAGGAAAAAACATCATATTACCACTTGGTGGCAGCATATACCACAGTTTTTTTTGTTCTGTGCAGCGGTGGACGCATTTTACCCACCATGTGGCCAACTCATGAATATTAATTACGCACCGTGTCTGGTCGCCCTTTAAAGGTTACAACCCAACGCAACGTCATCGCAATCTAATAAATATTCATACGCCACTTCATCAATTCTACAATTTCCCCGGCGGAGGCGCTCCGAGCAAAACAACAGACTTCTCGGCATGGTCGCCACCCTCCGGCGTGACGTCACAGCGTCCCGTGCGCGTGGGTGTGTCCGTGGAATCTGAGGAGAAAGATGGCTGCGGGACGAAGGGAGAGGTTGACAAATCTGAGATTCGCCGTTTGATGATAGACAGGTTTCAGCGGAGGACGAAGCGGAAAACAGCACTCGCTTGCGTAAGTATTTTTTTGCTCAGGTTTTAACGGTCGAATCGCGCTGTGTGGTCTCGTCAGTGTTCATTTCCCGCTCGGCTCGCGAGCTCAACGGTCAGCGTCAAATCTGATCTGACCCGTTGCGAGCTCACTGTGCGGCTAACGGTGAAACTCCACACAGATGAGACGAGAAAAATATCACTGGCAGTGGAAGAAAATATGCGTAAGTTATACTCTATAAACCATGCTAATGTTGAAAGCGTCAAGCATTAGGTTTGATTTGTTTTATCCACTTGACATAACCACACAGAATAACGGTTTTCAACCGCTCGGTTTGTTTTTAAACACGTTATGTGTTTAAAACGACACATCACTGCGTGGGAATGTGTAGCGTGACACATAACTAACGTACTCGTACTGAAAGTGAGAAAGACAGAGCTGCATTGGCATAAACTTGAATAACTATGTGATTGACAGCCGTTTAGGTATTTTTAGGTCAGCTTCTTGGAATGAACCATTAAAGCGATTTTGTTGTCGTGTTTTTTTACTGTGCTGTTATGAGTGCCTTTTGACCTGCATGATTATAGTAAATGGTGTGGTGGTTCCAGTTTTAACCTCTAAAATGTTTACGTTGTCATAAGTGATGAACCCCAGGCTTCAAAATGACTGTTATGTTGTTGTGTATCCTGAGTACGTTAAGTTACTCAACACTTGGCTGTGGGGCAGGTGAGAATTATGGTGCATTATTTCAGTCCAAATCATATATAATCATGTGGTCTATCCTTTGTAACTAACCTTTTTTTAAATGGGTCAAACCTTAAGTCTGATTATGATAGTTTATTCACTCAGATGTGATGTGTGGTTGAAAACAATCTCTCATGAATATGATTATGATTATGCACTGGGTGGCAGCAATGGAAGCTGCTCCTTTGGGTTGGAATGTGTCCTTCATATAAAAGCCTGTTGAGATTTTTATGAAGACTATACATGAAGTCACTGTATTTATCAATAAATGTGAGAGTTGACCGTGTTCCTGGATTGAATATATGCTCTGTATTTATAATAGGATATTATGGCAGGGTTATGAGTGGAAATTGAGTTTTTGAGGGGTCTGCAGAAAAGTAGTGATGCTCTAGTAGGTTCTCGGCCTTATTTCTGTTGATAGTGTATTATTCAATGTTTAACAGGTTTTATCTTAGTATTTAATTATTTCAGGTGTAGGTGCTGGGATTTCTCTCAGCTACTAATTATTGATTACTTTGATCTAAAACCGTATTGATGATTCTCATCCTTCATCTTATTGTTACAAATTCTGTGTAAAGCCCATTTTTGCAAACATTTTTCTTGGAAAAGCTGATGTCTATAATAATTAAGACCAGTGTTATTTTAGTATAATTGAAATATTATTATAGTTTTTCATTAATATTAAAATTTTTGTTTTTTCATGTTCTCTGTTTCATGCAATTTTTGATAAAAATGTAGTAATTTTGTAGTGTGTTTTTGTCATTTTTTTTGTATGTCCATATAGTTTTTATACATTTTTATCTCAAACTAAATGAAAATTTCTGCCTTGGCAGCTAGCTGAGTATAATATGTTTAAAGTTTTTAAAATATTTTATTTCACGTCCCATTTTTTATTGTTTTAGTTGTCTGCAGTAACTCTGATTCAATCATGCTTTTGCTCCATAAAGTCAGCTACTAGAGCAACATTTCTGTGCCATAAAACCATATAAGCTTTTGTGCTCTAGTGAAGATGTACTTCAGACTCTCTTCGTCTGTCTTTCTGTCTTCACCCCCTCTGCACAGACACATACACACAATTGCTGGAGTCATTTTGAGGCGTTGTGTTCAGGTTTATTTCCCTTCAGAAAATGCTGCAGCAGTCCTAAACTCATTTGAGTGTCAGAATGACTGAACTTTGAACCCTTGATGATTATAACCCAAGGAATGCACTCGTTCTTTCTCTCTCTCGCTCTGTTCTGTTGTTCTCCTTATTTCCAACTGTCAGTGGTCGACACTCTCTAGTTGGATTCCAGTGAATTTAGTCATTTATAGTTTTGTATGATTCACCTTTTCCATTTTTGCCTCAATTGGCATAAATATGAAGCATGCCATAAGAGAAGTAAATGCATGGCCTAAAACTTGAGTCATAAGGAAGTATGAGCATTTTGTGGTAAAGACACATTTCAGATGTCCTTTCTTTTAAATAACCAGATTTGCAGAGTAATGTGAATCGTGTAGAAAACAGCCTTGTTTAAGCAGACTACTGTATATTTAGGGGTAGTGTGTTTTGTGCAATGTCTTGATTGAGGGTACAGTGATTATTGAAGAGCAGAACTGTTATCTTATTAACCCCTTTTCTTTTTACTTAGTGGTAGCAGCACAGATCCATAACCATTAGGTTAGGTCCACCTCATCAGCTTAAAGAGTGCACTGATGTGAATCTAGTAATTACACTTCTGTTTACCTGCTCCTGATCTGCTACCATTAAGACTTTACCTGTGAGCTGCCAAGACAGACACCTGGCTAATGATTTATTGACCTCAGGGCTATAAGAGAAAGAGAGTCCTCTCCATTTGCTTCTCTATCTCTCTCTCTCTCTTTCTCTCCACCCCTTTATCCCCTTCTGTCACATTCTCAAACAGCCTTGCACTATACTATAGGTTGACATGCAAATCCATTGGTATAACAATTGTTTTGTAATTGATTCAGCAGCAGTGTGTTTTAGATTTTAAAGTACTACAAAATTTGTATCTCTAGATATATACTTTGTTATATGAACAAATACTGTATTTTCCAGAAGATGTCACATTTTTTACCATCTACAACGTGCTGGAACTTATATGATGTTCATAATATAATTAATGTTAAGCACATAAAACATCCGCAAAGCACACTTGCATATTATGCATGTTATGCAGCACTGCATGTTATGCAGGCCCAAATTTATTTGTATGGCACATCTTGCACATTCGATAGATTCAGCTTCACTTTAAATAAATTTGTTAAGGCTTGGCATTAATAATGAGTTAGTATAGTTAAAGAATACCACTTTAATTTATTTTTGTTTTATACTTATATATTTTTATTCCTATTCTGTTCTGAATACCATTCAATTTGAAGGATTTGGTGTGGAGTGAGGGGAGTAATATACATTTATAGTTTCTATAATGTTTATAAATGCTTTTTATTTACTTGTATTTTAGATTATTTCTGAATGTGACTTATATACACCAATGCAACTTATTGTTTGTTAGTTTTTTCTGGCAACAGTGCAGTTTTGACCCAGTGCAACTCATTTTCAGTGTAATACTGTTTCACAAAAATTAAGTATGCAAATCTCTAATTTTGGTAAATGCTTAATTTACTGACATCACATGCTGAAATATTTTATTGATTATATAAGTTAAAATATTTAAGTTGATTAAAAATGTTCAAGCTATTTTTTTCAGAGCCTCGGCCCTTAAACATTGCATTTTAAGGCAACTTTACAGACAAGCTTCATGTTATATTCTATTTCATGCTGTTCTGTGCATCTAGCTGTTTGAATGTATGTATTAATGTATGAATTGATGACTCGATCAACCAGGGAAGTCCTGAACCACTCTTCTTACTGTTGAGCCTTGGTGTTTGAGTCAGGGTAACCAGTATGCATTTGCATTAATAACTTGTGAGTGCATGTTTATGCACATGATGCAGGTGTCTCCTCTATGTGTCCTTACTGCCTGGGAGATGATCTTTCGGTTCAGCATGATTGTCCTCACCAATGATATTGATTCTTACAGTTACAATTATTGAAACACTTTGCATGTACTTGTGGCGAGTCATAACTGTTTGTGTTTGTTAATGTTTTAAAAGACATATAGATGTGAATCTTGATATGCCAGTAGTGTGCATCTGTGGTGTTTGTGGTTGCAGGGTCGATAAAGAAATCACAGTGAAACACAAGGAGCTGACTGTTCTCCCTGGGGCATTAAGCAGTCAGTAAGCAGGCAGAGCTAACTGACTCTGGACTGCACAGATAATCTCCGCTGTTTAGTCCCATTACAGCACCACTAGTTGTGTTATGCTGGAATGTTGTAGCCACTAGCCAGCAAAGCGTTCGTAAAAACTCTTTGTCTCCGTGAGTTACCAAAAATGTATCTTGGGATTTGAGAAACAGGTGAGTGACCGTGTCAATAAGGTAAGACCAGGACGAAGCACACAAATTATTCTTTATGTTGGTGTGGCAGCTAATATTATTTATAGACGGTAAGCCTGGTTTATTCGCATTTATACAAATTAATGCCTTAATCTTAGCAGAAAGTCTTAAACTCAAAAATAAATGAATGTCTTCCTCAGTATTTTTTGTTTTGTTTTCCAATACAAATATCTAAACCTCTTTTAAATCAAGTCATATTTACTTGAGATGAAAATGGAACGTATAAAGAAATTGAGCAAAATGTAAGCGAGTTTATGCTTAAAACAAGATCAAACATCTAGGGCTGTGACGGTGGCAGATTTTTAACTACCACCGGTGGCACGGTGTTGAGATATATATATATATATATAACTAGGGATGTAACGATTCACTCAACTCACGATTCGATTCACGATTCTTTTTTTTACAAAATGAGATTAAGACAAATTATAAATTAAATGTCATTTTATTATTGCTTGGACAAAATACTGCACGTTTCTTTGTGAAATTGAAATATAACACTAAAATAATATAGCGCTTGCATATTATTGCTCTTTTGTTGGTTTTGATTGAAAAGCGTCTGCTAAATAACAAAATTTAAATATATGCTAATGTAAATGTATATAACAAAACTAAATTTAAAACGAGCCCCAAATCAAATTAGTAACACTGATAAAAAAAAATCTTCATATAAACAAAATAAGGCTTTGTCTATGCTCTTTCCATTTAAAATGAGGCAACCACTGCATTTTAATCATGATCCAAGCAAAAATGCTGCATACATGAATCATGAACAGTTTTTAATCTAAATTAGTTAGTAGGTTGTATAATTTCGAATTTTGAA